TAGCTCTCCAGATGCTAATTCAGTCAATAAAAAGCGAGTTTTTGTAATCTGGTGGGTCCTGGGGGAGGTGTTGTGGAAACCAACAAGAAACAAGACAAAATTAAAATGCCTCTTTCCAGAAGCGTGCTTCTCAACCCTGGTGGTTCTGCACAGCCGGAGGAATGAGTGGGTGGACTAAGGAACCCGTGCACCCTGTCAAAGGACATTTTTATTTTTAGTAGACATGATAATTGTGCATGTTTAGGGAATACCGTGTGACATTGCAACCCAGGTGTGCAGCGGGTAAGGTCAGAGTGGAGCGATGGGCACATCCCTCACCTTGGACATCCCACAGTATTCAATATTGAGCTGATTGTTGCCAACCACAGTTATCCTGCGGTGCCAGACGACTCGAGAAGAATTCCTTCCACCCGCCTGCACCCTGTCATGTCCACAGCCCAGTCATGCCAGGGCAGCGGGGTAGGTTGCAGGGAAGTCAAAGAAAATGCCCAGAGACAGCATGTGAGACCTGAGATTTGTTGGGCAAGGCTTCCTGTGGCTGTTCTAGGAAAAGTTCAGAGGTGACAGACAGACAGACAGATAGCACCCCTGTCCCCCACACTGCTTCACCCAGCAGGGCCTCCTCTCCATACTGGTGGTGTCTATGGAGGCCCTCAGGTCTGCCCTGTGGGCACTGAGGGGTTTTTGGTGAGGCTGCGGAAGCAGGGACAGCATCGTCACCAGCTGGCTCTGTGAGCTTGTCTGAGCAGAGTCCCAAGGAGCGAGCGCCCTGGTGCACGCGAGAAGCGTCTTTCCACAGATAACCTGGCTCGCCCTGGTTCCCAGTGTGCATGAGGGAAGGCCAGCGTCCTTCAAGATGGTGTCTGGACATCCTGGCCCAGGCCTGCTCTCAGTGTCCCCTTAACTTGGGTTTTGGAGATGGAGAGGGTATGCTCAGGGACATGGTGTTTGACTGGCCCCTTTGCTTTAAGAGTGTCGCCACCCTCCCCACTCACCGCTCCCTCTCGACCCTCCCGTCCACATGCTGACCACTGTTCTGTTTCCTACTTCTTTGAGATCAACCTTTTAGTTCCGTGTGTGAGTGAAAACGTGCAGCATGTGTCTGCGGTCTGACTCAGGTCACTTAACATTCTGTCCTCCAGGTCCACCCACGTGCCTTGAACGACGATTTCATTCGTTTATGGCTGAGTGGTATTTCCCCGTGTATAGGTCCCATGTTTTATTTGTCCACTCATCCACCAGTGGACCCCCAGGATGATTCCATTTCAGGGCTCTTGTGAATTGTGCTGCAGCGGGGGTGCAGGGGTCTCTTCAACACGCGGACTCCACTTATTGTGGCTGTGTACCCAGGGCGGGATGGCTGGGTCCCATAGTAGTGTATCTGTCGTTGCTTGAGGAAGCTCCACGCTGCTCCCCACCACAACGCATGAGAGAGTTCCCCTTTCCCCACACCCTCACCAGCACGGGTGACTTCTTGTCTTTTTGGTAATAGCCATTCTAGTTGGGATGAAATGATAGACCTTTGTGGCTGGGGTCTGTATTTGCCTGATGATTAGTGATTGAACCTTTCTTCCTGTGGCCATTTGTGTGTCCTCTTGGAGAAATGTCTATTCAGGTCCTTTGCTCATTTTTCAGTTCCGTTCTCCTCCTCGTTGTTATCATCTTGCTGTTGGGTTCCCCGTATGTCCTGGAAGTTAACCTCCTGCTGTAGAGTGGTTTGCGAGTGTCCCTCCCGTTCTGCCTCTTCACCCTGCTGACTGCGTCCTTCCTGTACGGAAGCTCACTTGGTGGGATTCCGTTTCTCAGTTTTCGCTTTTGTGGCTGGTGCTACAGGGGTCATAGCGAAGAATCTTCCTGAAGCCCATGTCCTGGAGCATTTCCCTGTATTTTCTTCTGGTAGTTTCAGCTTTTGCATTTAAGCCTGTGATCCGTTTTGAGCTGATTTTTTAACATGTTGAGAGATAAGGGTTAAATTTCTTTTTCCTGCATGTGGATATCCAGTTTCCCCAGCACCATTTATTGAAGAGACTTTTCCTTCTCCAATGTAAGTTCTTGCTGCCTTTATCAAAATCCAGGTGGCTATAATTATGTGGATTTATTTCTATGGCTTTTGTCTCCTTTGCTGGTCTGTGTGTCTCTTCCTTTATTAGCACCGTACTACTCTTGATTCCTATTGCTTTGTTCTAGGTTTGCAGTCAAGTACTGTAATGCTCCATCTTTGTTCTTTTTGCTCAGGATTCCTCTGGCTATTTGGGGTCTTCTGTGGTTCCATAGGAATTTTAGGAGAACTTTTTCTATTTCTGTGATGGGTGCTGTGGGTGTTTTGATAGGAATTGCACTGAATCTATGGATCTCTTTGGGTAGTATGGACATTTTAACAATGATTCTTCCAATCCACAAACATGAGATCTCTTTCCCTTTTGGGTGTCCTCTTCAATTTTCTTTTGTTGGGATTTTTCAATTTGCATTGTAAAAATCATTCACTTCCTTGATAAACTCTCTTCCTAGGAATTTGATTTTTTAAGCCTTGTGAATGGGATTACTTTCTTTATTTCTTTCACAGCCATTTGACTATTGGCAATTTTTTTAAGTTACTGATTTTTGCAAATTGATTTTGTATCCTACAACCTTAGTAAGTTCATCAGTTCTTTATATCTGTATAGAATCATGTCACCTGCAAACAGGGATAACCTGGCCTCCTCCTCGTCTCTTTGGATGCCCCCCTTCTTTCTTTCTCCTGTCTTTTTGCTCTGGCAAGAACTTCTAGTGCCATATTGAATGAGACCGATGGAAGGTGACCTCCTTCCCTGTTCCTGATGTTCAAGGAGGGAACTTCAGCCCTCCCCTGTTCAGTGTGGTCTAGGTTTTGTCATATACGGACCTTATTATGTTGATGCACATCCCTTCTACACCTGATTTTTGAGGGCTTTAATCATGAAAGGATGCTGAATTTTATATGGATGCTTTCTCTGTTCCTGTTGAGATGGTCACCTGGTATCTACCCTTCCTTCTGATGGTCTCTTCTGTTTATCAATCTCTGTGTGTAGAGTCATCCTGGTGTTCCTGGGGTGAATCCTACTTGATCATGTAGTGGGGGCAAAAGAAAAGCCCAGGACCAGATGAATTCGCCATTGCCTTTCCTTAAGTTTTAAAGGAGAACGGTTGCCAGTTCTTCTCAAATTATCCCAAAGTATCAAAAGGGAGGAAACCCTTCCAAACTCACTCTGAGGCCAACACGACCTTGACCCCCAAACCAGACAAGAACACAAAGAAGAAAACTGCACGCTCATGTCCCCGATGAACAGCTACAACAATCTCATCAAAATACCAGCAAACCAAATCCAACAACACTTAAAAAAGATTATACACCTCGTTAAGTGGGATTTATGTCAGGGATGCAAGGATGTTTCTTCTTTGTGAGCACTTGGGAAGCGGGAGGGGAGAAGGTGAGGGAGACAGAGTGCTCTAGTGTCCCTTATAAGAGTACTTATCCCATAGGAGTGTTCCACCCTGAGGACCTCATCAAGCCCTGATCATCTCCTAAGGCCCATCTCTATCACCACGTGGAGAGCTAGGGCTTCAACATGTGAATTTTAGGGTAACAGATTCAGTCCATAGCATGCATAAATATGGACGCTGAGTTCATGAGGGCAACACATCCCCAACCTTGGAGTAGTGCCATATGTTCAATGAGGAGGGCCTATTGCTAATATTTAGAAGCTATTGCAATACACTCATTTTGATTGATTTATTTTTTGTGTGTGTGCTTTGTTTTTATGGATTTCATATGCTGCAGGATTTTCTACTTTATTGTTATGTCTCACTCCCTTCTTTTTCCTACATCAGAACTGGACAGTTTTGAGATTTAGTTGGACAATGTTACTGCCTTTATTCTCTAATTACTAATTTCTCATATTTACAACTTCTTCCTCTAATTGCCTTGGGGTGACTAATGCTGTCTCCTTGAAGTTAAAGACTCTACTAATTTCTTTTCTCCCTAAAATGAATTCAGGAGAGTTTAAGGTGTAGAATTTACTTTTCTCCACTTTTGAAACTTGAGATTTAAGGCTGGGGATGTAAATCAGCGGTAGAGAGCTTGCCTAGCAGGTGCAGGACCTTGGACTCTCTCCCCAGTGCTTCAGAAACATTGAGTTACAATCCACACACCACAACGTTCACTCTTCTAATGTGTAAAACTCAGTGGCTTTTAGTATATTTGCAAAGTTGCATGGTCATCACTCTGTCCACTCCTGGAACATTTGCATCACCTCAGGAGGAAGTTGTTAGCCCGCTAGCAGTTGCTCCCTTCCCCACACCCCCTGCCTTCAAGGCCACTCATCTGCTGTCCGATCTCTGTGGATTTGTCTGATGAGGAAGTTTCCTATAAATGGAACCATTCTAGTGTCTGACTTCTGGCACTTTGTGTAATGTTTTCAAAGCTCATCAGTATGATAGCATGTATTAGAACGTCACTCTTTTTGCTGACTAATAGTCCATTGTAGATCTACCACATTTTGCACATTTAGTCTACCCACTTATCAGTTGATGGATCTTTGGGTTGTTCTCACTCTTTGGTAGTTGTTAATAATACTGCTGTGAACTGTCATGTAGGTGTTTTGTGGTGGGAGATGTTTCAGTTCTCTTGGGAAAGGACTTACCTAGGAGTATATTTGCTGGATCAGATGTTAACTCTGTTTGACTCTTTGATGAATTACTGAAGTTTTTTTCCAAGAACTTACTTTTGAAGTAACTACAGCTGTGACCATGTAATTCAAGTTTTAATATGTAATTTCTCATTTTTGTTAAAATAGAGTGCATCTTTATAGTTTTTCACATTGTCGATAATCAGATTAACTTCTGTAAGGAAATTTTCCCTCTAATATCAAACTTTGTTTTCTAGAAACAATTTTCAGTTATATTTTTACTTATGGTAAGTAAATTTTAGATATATTTTGAAAAAAAATATTTACCTTAATGTTGTCTTTCCTTTTTGATGCAGAGTGTTCTTTTTTTTTCATAATTAACACATGGAACCTCAAAACCTGATCTTTCCTTAAAAGGATGCGTGTAATTGTCTCAGTTCCCTGCAGATGTCACAGAAGCACATTGGAGTGTGTAGACCACCTTCTATCCCTGGTGGATATTTATAATGGAGCTCTGTCTGTGATGAAATTGTCTCCAGCTCCCATCACTTTGAATTCTGGCAGAGAGGGATGAAGGACAGGAAGCCATCCTTGCTGTGTCCCCACTTTTGTTTCTTGAGAGAGCTGGGGTTGTGCTCACCAGTGATCTTCCTGGAGCCTTTGGCCCAGCAGGTGTTAAGTATGCAGGTCCCTCTCAGAGAAGGTGGGTTCCTTCCTTGACCATTATTCATGATGCACTTGGACTTGGGAACTCTTCCCAGTGCAGGACGCTGTGGCCATGCCCTTGGGGTGGGAAGTGACAGCTACATGGATTTGTGTTTTCCAGGCTGTTTGACTGTGCAGAATGAAGTCACTGGTCCAAAGACAAAAAGTGGCCTAGAGCAGGGCTCACTGACCGTGCAGTGTAATTATACTTCAGGCTGGAAGACCTACAAGAAGTACTGGTGTCGAGGAGCTGTTTGGAGTGGCTGCAAAACCCTTGTTAGCACCAATAGGACAGAGCAGGAGGTGAAGAAGGATCGTGTGTCCATCAGGGATGATCAGGAAAAGCTCATGTTCATGGTGACCATGGAGGATCTCAGGAGAGATGACGCTGACATATATTGGTGTGCAGTTGAGAGGGTTGGATCTGACCATATGTTTCCAGTTAATGTGACCATTTATCCAGGTAAGAATTCTTCCCTCATGCATCATGTGACCACGGTGCTGAGAATGGAGGTTTCAGAGATCCCACTCTCTCTCCCCTGAGCAACAAAAATGAATCTCCTTGTCCCCACCTGGGGTCCTATGTATGTGTGAGACCCTTTGAGGTAGAGACTTGGATTAGAGACAGAAACTGGGATTCCAGAGACATCAGGAGAAGGATACTGCCGTAGCTTCTCTGCCTGTCATTAGTGCTTATTGCAGTCAGTCAAGCAGGACAAGCCTGGCTTGGGTACAGGGGTTGGAAAAGGCAGTGGCCCCGACCTGGTTATTAGTGGCACCAGCTCTGCCCTCCCTGGAACCTACAAACCCGATATTCTCACTAAATAGAGCCTCCAGTTTGGTTTCTGGAGCCTGTGTGATTCACTTTTGCACACTTTAAGTAAAATTAACTCTTAAGTCATCAAGTGTAGAGCTCTGGAGGCTTAGAATCCTAGGAAACCAAAATCTAGATAATCCAGCTTCCTTTCTAACATGAAAGTGGCTAAAATTCCAGGGGTTCCTGGCTAGGGGTGTGGGATGAGGGACTCTGAACCCACTACTATAAAAGTTTTACTAAGAAAAGAGAGGAACACGTTCCACTCCACTTCAAGTGCCTTCCCCTCTCCTCCTCTGGTGGCCTCTGAGACTCACTGGGGTCTCTAGACCAAGCCTTACTTGCCTGAAAACCTTCAGCTTATCCCTGGAAAAAGTGATTCATGCTGAGACTGGGCAACCGCCTGTGCCCTGTAGGTCTCCCCTTGGAGCCCCAAGTCCTGTCTCCACTGGGGGGGAAGGTGAGGCAGGGAAGAATTCCTTCACCCCGCTCTGCACACACACACACACACACACGTACGTGCACACACGCACACGCACACACACACGCACACATTCACACAGTCAATCATATGGGAATCTTGCATATTCTCATTTATATAGAGATAAAAGTCTTATTTACATAAAATAAACTATGGAACATCTGCTGATGGACAAAGTAGAGTAAAAGAATCAGATTTTCCTCCTGCCTTAAACAACAGTAAACAAAATAGACAAGATACAGGAAACAAATATCTTCAACAATTTGGATATCAGGCAACAAAAGCCCTAATCCATGAGAGGAAGTAAATTTCAAAAGGTGAGCCAAACAACTGCCCAGCTTACAGCCTTGAGAGAGTCTGAGGGTTGAGCATAACTCAAACAGACCCTAGAAGACCTCTGGACTTGAAGGGACCATAAGGAAAAATAAGAGACAAGATGCAGAGGAGGAAAGATGGCAGAATGGCTGTTTGGGAACAAAATGTCTCCCCAAAGCAGATGATCAATTGTGAGTATTTGCCGCAGTCCGGCTGCAGCAAAATAACCGGGGGGTGACGAACAACTTGTGTATGTTGATACAGCAGGAGTGGAAGCCGTTTATTGTAGGACAGGAGCGGTATTTATACATTCCACACAGCTTATCTTAATTAACATAAACTAGATACAGCAGTCAACCAATAAGGAATCTCCACACTTAATGGCTCGCTGGCGTTACTTCACAAACCACTCCCTCTGGCAAAATGCCAGGCGCCATCCAGACTTGTTTACAGACCCTAACAAGTATTAACTTTGTATTGCATGTTGAGTGCATTAACTGTGAATTAAACAATATTGAGTCAAAGTTCACAGGACACAGAAGCAGAGAGGAAAGACTTGAAAAGGGTGAGAATCCCAATGGTCTGAAAAGGGGCTTCTGTGAGTATTCAAGAGAGTAAAGATCACCTCATGTATGAGAAAGCTACTTGAGGTTGGGTGAAGAACCACCCAAAATGATTAGAGGGAAGGGTGGCCAGTGTCCTCAGGGCCAGATACTGTGACCGTTCTCATGAGCCAGATTGGCAAGACATATCTGTGGGGTATTGGACTGAGTATTTATCAATGTCTTGCCTCCATAGTGATGAATAATTAGCTCTAGACTAAAAGCTGCTTTGATATGTATGGCCTTATAGATCTTTAGAGCAAGTCTTGAAAAATTCAGACTCTTCCAAGTAATTTAAATTAAAAAATACCCGAGAATAACAGGGTGAAAATCACAACATGTGCAAGACAGGCAAAGGTTGTAAGATATTATGATGATGATGATGTGAAAAAGCAGGAAAACACCCACTGATTCTGAGAATAGTCACTACTGAAAACAACCTAGAACTGACACAGATGTTGAAATTAGAAAAAAAGGAAATTAAATCAGTATGATAACTATACTTCATATGTCCAGGAGACAAGGAAAATATAAAAAGTCCCATTTCAAACTTTTAAAGCTGAAAACTAGTGTCTGAGATGGAAAAACACACCAGAAGAGATTAGTGGTATATTTAAAATTACAGAATAAGATATTAGTGAATTTGAAAGGAAGAAAGAAACTATAGAAAGAAAATAAAATTAAGCCCAAAGTAGCATCAGAAAAGAGACAAGAAAGATCAAATGAAATAGAAAACAACAACAACAAAAAATCAATAGAAAAAAAATCAGTGAAATGAAATGCCATTTCAGTGACGAGATAAAAACACATTGATAAACTTCTAGTCATAGTGACCAGGAAAAAATTGAGGAGAAATAAAATTGCTAATATAAAAAAACTAAAGAAAAGTGGAATCACAACAGATTTTACAGATGTAAAAAGAACAATAAGGAAATGTTACAAGCAACTTATATGCCAATATATTTACCAGCTTAGATGAAAAGGAAAAAAATCTTTTGAAAGGCACGAACTATCAAAGACACTCAGGAAGAAACAGATGACTGAAATAACTCTACATCTATTAATGACAGAATTTGTGGTTTAAAACCTTCCCACAAAACAAAACAGAGCAAACTAAAACACAACACCCTGGGCTTAGATGGTCTGCCAGAGAGTTTGACCAAAAAGGCTGAGATAATAGCAATTCTATAAAACTCCTCTAGAAACTGGAGATCAACGAGGCTACCGTTAACCGGATACAGACCGAGACCAAGTCATTACAGGCAAGTATTTATGTAAATGTTTGCATAAATGAAACTGCAAACGTTCTAAGGAAAATTTTAGCAAATTGAATTCAATAGTATATGGAGAAATAAAAGCATCATAATGAAGCAGGGTTTATCCCAGGAGTGAGAATGTGATTGACCTTCAAAAATTAATCAGTGTGAATCAAGCACACTACAAAATAAAGTGCAAATGATTATCTCAATAGGCACAGATAAGGCATGTGATAAAATCCAACTCTGTTCCTGATTTAAACAAAACAAAACAAACAAACAAACAAACAACAACAACAACAACAAAAAAAAAACCCAAGAAAACCTCTTGTCAAACAAGGAAACATTTTCAACCTGATAAGAGGCAATTACAAAAGATAATATACATAATTGTGATGGACCAATGCTTTCTTCCTTAACGTCAGGAACGCTTTCTTTTCACTTCTGTTGTACATTGTAGTGGGGTTTCTAGGCAGAAGTAATATTTTTAAAAAATTTATATGTACATGGCATCCAGATTGAATAAACAAATAAAAATCTCCTGAGCAGGAGAAAATACGATTATGTATTCAGAAAACTCTTGAAATATCCCCCTCTCTAAATATAACTACTAGAACTAGTGAGTGAGTCTCTCGAAAGGTTGCAAGCATCAGCTGATATCTATAACTTGTAATAAGTGATCAGAAGTTGAAATTTCAAAATACCATTTATAATAACATAATATGAACTCTTTAAGGATAAATCTACAAAAGATGTGCAAGACCTAAATGGCAAAACTATACAATAATGCTGAGAGAAACCAAAGAAAAGCTAAATAAATGAAGAAATATGTCTTGTGTATGGGTTGTAAGATTCAACATTGTTAAAAAGACAATTAACTTATAGATTCAACACAACGCCTAAAAATCCTAGTAGGATTTTTTTTTTTTGAAAGAGATTGACAGGCTGATTCTAAAATTGGTGTGGGAATGTAAGGACCTGGAATAGTTAAAACAACTTTGAAAAAGAAGGACATAGTTGGAAGACATTCACTTCTGATTTCCACACTTAAAATAAAGCTGTAGTCATAATGTCAGTGTTGGGGTCAGATAGAAACATCGATAAAGGTGAATCAGAACAGAGGATCCAGATGTAGGTACACCCACCTGACACATATATATAGGCAAAGCTATAAAGCAATTAAATGAAAAAATGATAATCCTATCAACAAATTGTGCTGGTGTCCCTGTGTTAAAAAATGGATTTTAACCCATATTTTAGATTATTCACAATTATTTCAAAACAGATCATAGATCTAGATGTAAAATCCCAACCCACAAAACTTCCACAATAAAACAGGGAAGAAATCCCAGCAGCTAGAGAGGCTGAGGCAGGAGGATCACAGGTTTAAAGCCAGCCTCAGCAACTTAGTGAAGCACTAAGCAACTTAGCGAGAACCTGTCTCTAAATAAAATATAAAAAGGGCTGGGGATGTTGCTCAGTGGTTAAGCACCCTTGGGTTCAATCTCTGGTACCAAAAAACCAAACAAAACATGGAAGAAACTCTTTTAAGACCTTGGGTTTGGTACATTTTTTCCTAGGTCTAACACCAAAAGTATAATCTATAAGATTGATAATTTGGACTTTGTTAAAATTCAAACCTCCACTCTTTGGAAAATAGCATGAAGAGAATACAGTGAGACTGGGAGAAATCATTCAGAGAGTACATACAGAAGCTGTGTGACAGGGAGCCTCTAAGAGAGATCCCAGGGGTCTCCACCTCTGGGTACCCAGAGCCTGGTGTAATCCCTTCCCCTGAGTGTGGACTGGACCTAGTAACTTGATTCTGGTGGACAGAGTATGGAACATTTCGTGGGCTATCAGTTCCGAGATTAGGTTCTAAAAAGGCTGTGGCTTCCATCTCCTTGCCCACTCACTGTCTTCTCCTGAACCCTGCTCTCTGGCAGGAGCAAGCTGCCATGTTGTCAGTAGCCCTGTGGGAAGGCTGAGTGTCTAGGAACTGTCACCTGGCTAACAGCCAGAGGAACCTGAGACCTGCTAAAACCCACAGGAGTGAGCTTACAAGCAGATTCTCCCTATTGAGGTATCCGGAGCCCCAGCTGGCTGATACCTCCGTCACAACCTTGTGAGCCAGGGGACCCAGCCAAGCCATGTCCAGCTTCGCGATCTGAAGAAAGTGTGAGATAATAAATGTTTGATATTTCAAGCCACCAAGTTTCTTGGTAACCTGTTACAGAGCAACACATAACTGATACAATCTGATACATAATTTGTTTCCAGAACATAAAGAAGTCTTAAGCCTCTAAAACAAGAAAACAAATAATTCAATAAAAATGGGTTAAAGATTTGAATAGACACATTACTAATGACCATATTCGGGGTTGTGGCTCAGTGGCTGAGCGCTTGCCTTGCACATGTGAGGTACTGGGTTCAATCCTCAGCACCACATAAAAATAAGTAAACAACTCAGCACCACATAAAAATAAGTAAACAAAATAAAGATATTGTGTCTATAACTAAAAAATCTATTTTAAAAAGACTATATGTGGATGGCAAATAATGAAAAGACACTTAACATAGCTGGGTGTGGTGGAGCACACCTGTAATCCCAGCAACCTGGGAGGCTGAGGCAGGAAGATCCTGAGTTAATTGCCCCTGGATTCAATCCCTGGTACCAAAAAAAAAAAAAAAAAAGGAAGAAAGAAAGATGCTCAACACTATTATTCAGTGAAAATGTGAACGAAAACTACATACTCAAAATTTAACAGCATTATGTCTACTCACAGGTTTGCATGAGAACATTTATTTGTAGTAGTCCCAAATTGGGAACAACCCAAACGTCCACCCGTTGGTGGATGGATTAACGACTTGTGGACCATCCATACAATGGACAGTGCTTGCGATCAAAAATAATGATTCACTGGCTGTTGGAGGGCAGAGAGGGGTGAAGGACAGGAAGCCATCCTTGCTGTGTCCCCACTTTTGTTTCTTGAGTGAGCTGGGCTTGTGCTCACCAGTGATCTTCCTGGAGCCTTTGGCCCAGCAGGTGTTAAGTATGCAGGTCCGACTCGGGGAAGGTGGGTTCCTTCCTTGACTTGGGAACTCTTCCAGGTGCAGGACACTGTGGCAATGCCCTTGGGGTGGGAAGTGACAGCTGTATGGATCTGTGTTTTCCAGGCTATTCCACTGCAAATAATGAGGTCACTGGTCCAAAGACAAAGAGTGGCCCAGAGCGGGGCTCACTGACCGTGCAGTGTAATTATACCTCAGGCTGGAAGACCCACAAGAAGTACTGGTGTCGAGGAGCTGTTTGGAGGAGCTGCAAAACCCTTGTTAGCACTACTGGGTCAGAGCAGGAGGTGAAGAAGGACCGTGTGTCCATCAGGGATGATCAGGAAAGGCTCATGTTCATGGTGAGCATGGTGGACCTCAGGAGAGATGACGCTGACATTTACTGGTGTGCAATTGAGAGGTCTGGATATGACCTTAAGTTTCCAGTTGATGTGACCATAGATCCAGGTAAGAGTGTGTTGATGTGTCCCTGAGGTCCCACTGAAGTGAATGGTCTGTTATTCAGAGTGACCTGTCACAGAGGGCGCTTCAATCCTGAGGTCTCACAGAATCCTGAGTGAACATTTGGGGTTGGCCAGGGGTGGGGCTTCTTTAAAAGCCCCGGATCCTGGAACCTCCTCCAGGAAGTCAGCCAGAGCAGACTCTCTTTTCCCTCTGCACAGCTCAGTCCTGAACCTGTTGCCAATAAAGGTCAAGGTGATGGTCCCCAGTTTCAGCCCTTGGTCTGGAGAGACCTGCTACTGCTTTCCTGGGACCTCAGTGTCCAGGGGTGCCCTGCTCTTTGGGGTGCTCTGGGCGAGGCCTTGACAGGGCTGTTCTCACCCCCCTCCGTATCCACCCTGGGGGAGAAGAAGCCCTGTGGAGTCTGGTGTGTTGGTCTGACTCCTGAGCCCAGAGAGGCCTTCACAGACCGCTGCGTTCCTGCTGCTGGGAACCCGCTGGGAGCCGCTCATGCCTTTGGCTTACTGAGGGTCTGGTCCTAAGTCCTCCAGAAAGCAGGCGCTGCTGGAGGCTCCAGGGTCCCGAGGCCTGGGTTTGAAGATGTTTCCTGTTGACTCTGCTGCTCGGCCCCTGGACAGGCGGCACCAGATGGCAGGGCTCTGGGGGCACAAAGGAGCACCACAGTCACGAGAGCCCAGGCCTGGAACCTCTGGGGCGTGTTCTGGTGGCACAGTGGGCAGCAGGCATTGTCTCTCAGAATCCTGACAATGCCCAGGAGGAAGGTGTCCCCATTATCGAATCTTCATAACTTGCCTGAAGTGGAGGCCTTCTAGAACATTCTGATTCATGGCATGTACATGGAATTCTAGCAGTGCAGACTCTGGATAAGCTCAGAGGGCACACCGGTGGTTGCCTGGTGTGGTCGTCTGCTCAGCTGCCATGCCACAGTCTGGGTGGTATAGACACAGGAGCATCCCTCACAGTTCTACAGGTTGCAAGTCCAAGATGAAGGTGCGGGCTGGGTGGGGTCTGGCTGAGGACGCTCATGCAGAGAGCCACCCTCCAGATAAACAACATACACTAAAAAGTGTATGTTGTTTATCTGGATATGAAGTTTACCTGGGCTTCCACATCCCTGGGTCTGTCCATGTGTTCTCATCTCTTCTTCTAAGGTTAGTTTAGGTCTTGCCTCTTCAAAGGCCCTGTCTCCAAACACAGTCCCATTCTGAGGTACTAGGAATTGTGTGGATTCAATGTTTGAATTTGGGGGGATACTTTTCAGTCCACAGCACCTGGTGACAGAATAGGGAAGAGGGTATTACTGAGGAAATTTGGGGTATTTTGGCTATGTTCACTATCTTGATTGAGTGGTGGTGTGACCAGGTAATCCATCCTCAATTAACAAATTATATACTTCAAATATTTACAGTTTATTATGTGCCAGTCATATCTTGATCTAATATGGGAAAATGATATCATCAGAAAAAGAGCCAAGTGTGATGTGATCTTTTATGTTTAGATTGTTCTAGAAGCTCAGCACAGGTGAGAACAGTGTGGTGCAGCAAGAATTGGCATTGCATTGGAGGTGGATTATGGAGGTTATCACAAGCACCATACTCCACCGGGGAAGGGATGGCAACCTGGTAGAGCTGTTGGGAGATAGGAAAGGGTGGCAAAGGAGAGAGAGGAGTGGATGGCACTTGGTCCATCCTGGCACCAGCCATCAGTGCCAGTCAGCCTGGGTTTCCCAGAGGAGGCTCAGGGAAAGGGGGCCAGCTCAGTGGGTTGCATCCCTGCAGAACAGGCGAGAGAGCTAGCTTCAGCCAAGGCAGAGACTCAGAAAGAGCTAGTGTGGCCTAGGGACCACAAAACGCCATTGTGTGTGCTCAGCTTGACAGACAGACCAGGACTGATTATTATAACTTGCTTCCTGAGCTTGGTCCTCAGAATCTCTTGCATGGTCACCAAGTTGTTTTCTGTATTAAATAACTACTTTAATGTTTTAGATGACAGCTAAAGGGTCCTGGTGGCCAGGGAGAAACTCTTTAGTTCTCAGAGGGAGAATACTCTGCATCCAGAGCTGGGTTGTTCATGGAAGAAGTAACTCTGTTTGGCTTTGTTTAGCCCCAGAAAATCCAGTGACAGCAAGGACAACCACAGTGACTTCAATCACTGTGAAGACCGCCAGCAACCCATCAGTGACTCGCACCACCAGCCCCCTCAAGTGGTAAGCAGAGTTGGGTCCTAGAGTCCTTTCTTGGGGGCCTGGTCCCATGGCGTCTCCTCTGGGAAGGTTTCCAGATTAAATTCAGGATGCCCAGGAATCCTGGAATTCACACAAACAAGAAATAATGCTTTAGCCAAGGGTAACCCAAGTGTTTAATGGGACAATCTAACACTAAAAAGTGTATGTTGTTTATCTGGATATGAAGTTTACCTGGGCACCCTGCACTTTCACATGCTAAACCTGGTCACTGCAACCTGTGGGTGAACTCAGCTTGGCACCCCCACCTGTCCCCCCTGATATAATCCTCATGTCAGAAGAGTCACTGAAAAATCTGGGGTGGGCTTCCCCAACCTCAGTTTACCTTTGAGCACATCCGTGAAGGCAAAGACTTCAGCTGGGTAGCAGGAGAGGAGAATGGGCCTGGGCCTCTGGCCTCTCTCTAACATGGCCCCCTGGGGACAAGACTGCCACAGTTTGGCCTGTGTGGGTTGTGAGAGACTCCTCTCCCATCTGCTCCTGGCAAGTCTCCTTGTCCAGCCCACCTCTCCCCTAGTACCGAGTGAGGTGTGGGAGGTGCAGAGGGGAGGGGCGGGGAGCTGGAAGTTTGGCTGCGTTTCTCATGGCAGAGGCTGTGGAGTGCCAGTCGGAGGCTGACCCCCCCTGAAGATATCCAAAGGAATTCAGCCTCTGATAGCTCTCCAGCTTAACTCCATCTCAGGTCGCTGCAGTCAGGCCCCAGGTCAAGATCACAGCTGAACCACAAACCCTGCTCCTTCCAGAGCCAATGCGAAGTCCCTTTCTCCCACTCTTTCTTCCAGAACTGCACCCCTTTCTCATCTGGTTCCCTTTCTAGTCGATGCTGTTCCTTCCACTCTCTTACTCTTGAGTTAGCTAAATACTTATGAGGAACTCCACCTTAGGGGCTGCTTTAGGCTCCTTGCTTGGATTTTTTTCTTTTTTTTTTTTTTTTGGTACCAGGCATTCACCCCAGGAGCCCTTAACCACTGAGTCACTTCCTTGCCTTTATTATTATTATTATTATTTTTAATTTTGAGACAGGGTCTCACTAAGTTGCTTCATGCTAAATTGCTGGGGCTGGCCGAGCCTCTGGATTAGCAGCGTTCCCCACCACGCCCAGGTCTTTGGTGGTGTTTGATTGTTTGGTTGGTTTCCTCCTGTTTTGGAAGTGCCTCTGTGTAAATGTAGGGAATTTTAGCTGCTGAGAGACAGAGGGCAGGAGACCAGGGAGGTGTGGTGGAGCGCCCCAGAGAGTGCAGAGCAATGGAGAGAGCACAGGGCATTTGACCTGTGCCCTGCCTGGTGGCCTCCCCTTCATCTTCAGGAACACATTCAGTCCACTCAGCAACCCATCCGCATTCTCACGTTGGATGTACTTCAGAGTTTTCAAATCTACCCCTGAGCTGCGGGAAGCCTTCTGTTGGACTGAAACAAAGATGGCCCCGGAAGGTGGAGACCCTGAAGGCTGTGGAGGATGGTGGGGAGGAGGGGGATGGAGGGTCCTTCAGACTCACAGGGAATAACAAAGAACTGCGGGGCCAGAGTCAGTCCATGGCACAGTGGGTGGGAGCAGAGGGAAACAATTCCCAGGTGTGGTGTCCCACAAGCCTTCAAAGATGTGACATCAGATCTGACACAGGCAGCTGTGAGGGTGGGGAGGGCCATCTGGGTGGAGACGCCGAGACAAAGAGAGCACAGCCAACCCTCAGCCTGGAGGGAATGGGACTAGGTGAGGGGGATTGTGGGAGACCAGCCCCCCACGGCAGACTGGGGGTGGACAGGAAAAGGAGGTGGCTTAAGGCCAGGCTTACTGTAGTGGGGGACGCCCAGGCCTTCCAAGGGAGCTGTCCTGCTGGCCCCAGGTCTCCCTCACTTGGCTACTGGAACCCCGGATCTGGGCACAGGGACGGCTGGAAGATCCCAGACCTCTGCCCCAAGTGGCAGTTTTTTATTTCCTGTTTCTTGTTCCCACAGGTCCTTGTTCAGCAGCACCTACTTCCTGATCCTGGTCTTCCTGGAGGTGCCCCTGCTCCTGGGTATGCTCAGTGCTGTCCTCTGGGTAAACAGGCCTCAGAGATGCCCTGGGAGGAGGCGGAGTCCGCCAGATGAGAACTAGTAGTAAAAAGACGCTCCAGTAGAAGAAAAAGAGCATTTCTGTGAGGAAGCCATGTGGTTGGCATGGCTATGGCTCTGAGGCCACTCAGCAGCTTTGGGGAGCAGCCCCTGGTCCCTGCTTCTGCAGCTCTGACCCCTGGGATGTCACGGAGACAGTAGGAAGTGCCAGCAGAGAGGATGCTTCCCCCAGAGGCCCCAGTTCCTTGGAGGTCACATGTCATCTCAAGTGCGGTCACCTGCTACATTGATGGACCTTTGTTTGCATTCCTTGGGGTGCAGGGCCCCAACTAATCGAGTGTTTCCACACTGTAAACCTCAGGACAGAGAAGGAAAGGGGCTGCCAGCCCCACCCCACCCAGCTCCGTCCCTCAGTGACTGAAGTCGATGACCGGCCCTCTCTGTGGACACTCATGGTCTCCTCCATTTTGAGCAGTTAGGCTGCTCTTCTTGTCTGGGAGTGGATGGAACATGGGCCGTACATTTTGGTACCCACAGCGATGGCCCACTTGATAATGCGCTCTTGTTTTGGTCCTGGGGACTGAACGCAGGGTGCTTAACCTCTGAATCACACCCCAAACCTTTTATTTTTTATTTTGAGCCAGGGTTTTGCTAACTTGCTGAGGCTGGCTTTGAATTTACAGTCCTCCTGCCTCGCCTCAGAATTGCTGGGACTCCAGGCGTGTGCCACCACGCCCGGCTTGAGCCGCACAACTGGGGACTGTGGAGGAACCACAGTGGGATGCTGGAGCTGGAGCAGATCCGACACCGTGGGCTTGGGGTGGCAGAGGGGCAAGGCCACCACACAGCTGTGTATCCTTTCAGACGCACCCAGACTAAGGTTCCACCCAATGGCTGAAGCTTCCAGAAAGTGCTGCTGGCGAGTGATCTTATCAGGAGAAAAGGAGAGCCGTTTCCTTCCTGTCCAGTTCCGGCTCCTGGGCTTGTACTTCTGGGAAGGAGGCCACTATGGAGAAGGCACAGCCGGTCAGGGGCAGGAGAAGCCAAGGGCCCTGGGCAGGAAGGACAGTGCAGGACACAGCGGGACGGAGGCTGGGACATTGCACCTCCCTTCCCTGAAGCTGAGTGTGGGAGTCGGGGTTCTCCAGGGAAGCCCAGCAGTGTGTGGGGGGCATTCCAAGGAGGCTCCGTGATGTGGAGGGCGGGGCAGGCTGCAGAGCTGGGAGCTGCTGCTGCAGGTGGAGCTGGAGACGGAGGCCCATGGGACACTCGGCTGTTTTCTCTTAAGGACTGTAACCGATTGGACGATTGGACAAGGCCCACCGCATTATGGGGGTAATCTGCTTGGTTCAAAGCCTACTGACTTGATGTTAATTTCCCCTAAAACATACCTCACGGCCACACCCAGGTGGGTGTTGGGCCAAATAGCTGCGCACTGTGGCCTAAGCAAGTGACACAGATCCACCTCACACTGGCTGTCCTGGCACATGGGGCACAGTTGGTACTTCACAGGGCCTCCATCTCCGAAGCTCCCCTCCCCCTCCCCTGCTCACGCCCAGCCTGGTCTCCCTTGCCTGTGGCTGCCACTCGCTGCTGGCCTCTGGCTTGAGGGGTGAATGGTGCACCCAGCCTGTGACTGAGCCCGTGCCCACTATGGCCGGAGCATGGATTGGGTCCCCAGTGCCACCTGCCGGGGTCCCCAGTGTCCAGTGGGACAGAGGCTGCTGCTCCTTCAAGAAACACTAGTCCAGGTCGCCCCGTGCCCTGCTCTGGCCAGTCTCTGCACCCAGGCTAGGTCCCCGTTTACTCCGACCATTGTTCATTCAACAAACACTGTGTCTACTGAGTACCAGGCACTGTTCAAGTATAAGCCCCAAAATAGACAAAAAAAAAAAACCCAGTTGAGTGCCGTGGAAGAAACCTACAGGTCCACAGACAAGGTCTCACTCAGCTAGAGAGTGGCAGAGCTACATCCAGACCCCACCCCCACCCTTCCTGGGCTCCGCTGCCCTCTCTGACCTGACCCTCCAGGGAAAGTCTTTTTTCCGCTGCCAGGTCTGGCGCCCATGTGCCACAATCACGCCCTTCTGCAGCACCCTGTTCTGAGTCCCCGGTTAGCATCTTGAAGTCACGCGTCAGGTCTGTAGACCGTGCTGTAGAAGAGGACCTTCCCTTGGTAACCTCCACCCCGCCCCTCCCCTTTCCAGGCCTGGTTTTGTTAGTATAGTATTTTTTGTATGTGTGATATTTATATTCTCTTCTGTGAATGTTTCCCACAGTTCAGTCTTCTTTTGTTCCTCTTGCTTTTAAATGTATTCATTGCTTAGCCAGGCGTGGTGCCTGTGATCCCAGGGACTTGGGAGGCTGTTATGTTTTGGATGTGAGGTGTCCCCCAGAAGCTCAGGTGTGAGACAATGCAAGAGGGTTCAGAGGGGAAAGGATTGGGTTGTGACAGCCTTAACCCAATCAATGAATTGATCACCTGAGAGGATTAATTGGTGATTGAAGGCAGGTAGGTGTGGCTGGAGGAGGTGGGGGATTGGGGTGTGGCTTTGGGCTACATATTTGTATCTGGCGAGTGGAGTCTCTCTCACTCTCTTTGCTTCCTGATCATCATGTGAGCTGCTTCCCTCCACCACACTTTTCTGCCATGATGTTCTGCCTCACGTCCAGCCCCAAAGAATGGAGCCTGCTATGGGTGGAGTGAGACCTCTGAAACTGTGAGCCTCCAAATAAACCGTTCCTCCTCTACAATTGTTCTGGTTGGGTCCTTTCATCACAGGGGCAAAAAAAACTGACCAAAACAGAGGCTGAGACAGGAAGACCTCAAGTTCAAGGATGGTCTCCAGCTGAGTGCGGGGGTGCACGCCTATAATCCCAGCAGCTCAGGAGGTCCAGGCAGGAGGATCACGAGTTTAAAGCCAGCCTCAGCAACTTAGCCAGGTCCTAAGCCACTTAGCGAGATCCTGTCTCTCAATAAATGTTAAAAAGGGGCTGGGGATATGGCTCAGTGGTTAAGCACCTCTGGGTTCAATCCCCAGTATCCAAAAATAAAGGATGGCCCCTACAACTTAGAACCTCAGCAACTTAGAAAGACCCTATCTGAAAAATAAATAAATTAATAAGGACTGGGAGTGTAGCTTGGTGGTAAAGCACTGTTGGGTTCTATCCCCAGGACCCCTCCCCCAGCCCCACCCACCATGGATGCATTCATTGGTCACCACTCTCTCTTTTTTCATCCCTAATGTATCGTTTTCTTGGCAAACGTTTATCATGATGTAGTCTTTCTACCTTTGACGGGCCGTGGGAGCTGTATTCCATCAGTTCTCTCATCTGTAGATTGTTGCTGGGATATTTCAAAAGCAGCCGGGTAGAGTCCATGCCACGGTGTCTTTTGCCTTTGGCACCTGCAGATCTCCCTGCACTGTCTCCCAGTGCGACACCAGGGAGCGGAATCCAGAGGCCACCGATTTTGCTTGTACGCAGTTGCTCATTCTGACGGGCGGCCAGGATGACTCCATCTTTATCCTCTGAGTTCTGTGACTTCAGAATATTCTAGCTGTGGATCATCATCATCCCTGGACGCTGTGTGGCCTTTCAGTCATGAATGGAAGTTTCTCTTTACGTCAGGATTGTTTTTAATTAAACTTAATTATTTTTACATCTGGCTTCTTCATTCTCTTAGGGAACAGCGGCACACAGGTGTGGATCTCCTCTCTTCATCCCCTGCACCTGCAGCAATCCCCTCTACCCAGGGACCCAGGCCATGGATGATCAAAATGTCTTACCTGCCAGTCAGACTTGTGGAGATGAAAAATTGACAATTTGCCGGGGGGGGGGGTGAGATGTGGTAGTTAGCTATGTATTTATTTATTAGTTTTAGGTGGACACATATCCTTATTTTATTTTTATGTGGTGCTGAGGATCGAACCCTCGTGCATGCTAGGTGAGTGCTCTACCACTGAGCCACAACCCCAGCCCTGGGTAGCTATTTTTAATACTTCTGGTGAGAGCAAAGATTTTTCCAGTCTCTTTGGTAATATGCATTAAAATTCGAAAATGCAGAGACCTCCATCCCAGCTATTTTATTTATAGGACTGCATCCTGCAGGTATATCCAAAAGTATATATCAAATCACACATACAAGGAAATTCATTGTACAAAGTTGCAAAAGAACTGAGGGAAAGAATTAAACAACTCAAACAACACCTGGCTGGGTGTGTCTGGGAGGGGGAAAAGGAGCAAGGCAGGGCAGGAATCTCAGATGCCATTGGTGCCCTGCCCACGACAATTCAGCACTTGCTGTACCCTCAGAAGAGCATGTGCATCCTATAGTGTTTGGGTGGATCCAGAGAGGGCAGATAAGAGGCCTCAGGGGAAGCTTGTTTGCAAGCTATTTACCTCCCTAGTGTAGAGTTCCTTCACAGATGCAAACCTCCCCATGAACGATCGGCTTCTCAGAGCTACTTCTGTCTGTGGCCCCTCTGAAAAGTCATCTCAAAATTATGGGAAAGAAGTCTAGTTTGGGGTGGCATGTCTTAATCTCCCATAAGAGGAAAACATTGGTCTGATGGCAGAGCTAGGTCTTATCTAGCAACTTCGAGCAGGAACGCAGTGGGCGTCACACAAGGCTCAGGGCAATGTCTGCACACAGAACAGTCTTGTTACAGAGTAAGCTTTGCTGTACAGACCTTCAAGACAAGGGCAGCAAAGAACAGAGCGTAGGTAGTCTCCCATCCTTTCGTGTGACGGAGAGTTGTGATGACCTGTTTCATGCACAGGGTTGGCACTCCAGCAGAGAGACCTTGCCCCCTGTACTTTCCATTCTCATAGGACAAATTTGAGGAGGTCCTGGTCAATTGGGGGATATTATTCAGGTTTCTCCAGAGAAACAGAACTAATGTTGTGTGTGTGTGTGTGTGTGTGTACACACATATATCTCCTACCCTACACATATATATGCACATATATATCCACAAATATGTATATATTTATACACATACATGTACATATATATATTTCTAGAAAGAGATTTATTATAAGGTGTTGGCTTGAGGTAAGAGAGAAGGAATATGAAGGTAGGTATAAAGGGGACAGAAGGAAGGACGAGGAAACATAATCTAGATTCAGGTTTCACACACCTTTCAGGCCTGTCACCCCCCAGGTTAGTCTCTTTCCCAGGCTGGTCACTCCCAAATTTCTGGGAAATCTGTAAATCTTAGAGTTACAGGAAATTCGCTCACTTGTGAAAACCGGCTTGTGCACTGTCAGCCCACATAATAAATGGATTAAGCAAAGTGACACATGCTAATTTTAAAATCCTATAACCTAGGATACTTTCCAAAGTTACCCACTGGTCAGATCATGGAGCCCACATCAGTCGAGGAGCCTGAGGATGGCCAGGCCACCATAAACTGTCCTGTGATCACCAGGCTGATGTCATTTACACCTACCTTCCCATTCCCACCAAGTTCCCTTTAAGAGCCTGAGAATCCCCAAAGCATCTCCCACTCGAAGGTCTCTGCTCTCCTGAACACGTCTCTGTGCCTTCACTGATGCCTCCTTAAACTCATTTCTGGGCTGTTTGTCAAGAAGCCCACTCGTCCTGAGTTGAGGTCCCCCTGGTGACAGGTTCCCACGGAGGCCTCCTCTGGTGACAGGTTCCCACGGAGGCCGAGTAGTCTGGTGATCTGCCACATGTCTGTCTATGAGAGGGACACCCAGGAAATCCAGAGTGTAACTCAAAGGCCTGAGACACCAAGGGCAGCAGATGACCACCCCAGCCCAGGAGGTACGCAGGGGCACTCTCAACCTTCCTCTCCTTTCTGACCTACTTTGGCCCTCAACAGGTGGGCTGCTCCCATCTGGTAGGAAGGCAGTGGGCTTCACTCCGCACACCCTTCGAGACACACGCAGAAATCATGCTTGACAAAACACCTGGGCTTCCCTGCCCCCATCAAATCGATCACTTCAGGAAGATGTCCAGACTCCTGGGCACCAGTGAGTGAGCGACGTGATTGCAGCCACTTCAGCTTCCTGGCATTTAGTGACCCAAGCTACCCAAGAAGGGTCAGGTCCTCCTGCTGCAATTAGAAGCCACCAGTCCCTCGGAAGGTGGGTGGGCCTGCGTCCTGGAGCGCCCAGCTCCAGCAGGAACCCAGGGGAGGTTCCGGACATGCCTGGACAAGCCTGCTTCCCAGGGGCCATCTCAGAGTGCAGTGTCCCCTTCTGAGCCCTGGTCTACACTGGGCACAGGGATGTGCTGGCTTTCTTTTGCTTCCCTTTGCCCATTTACTTCCCTGAAACTCAGGGAACCCTAATAAACCCTCTAGCTGGATTTGCTTAGTTATTTGCTTTCATCCCCAATTTCAGTGGCCGCCTCACCAAGCAATGGGCTCCCATCAACGTTGCCGTAGCCAATACCTCTGACGTTTTGTTCAAGATGGCCCCAGTTGCCTGAGCTCTTTCAGAAACTGAGAGGGAGCTCAAATTGGTTGGAATCACTCACCTTTCCCTTAGGTCTGTGTAGGTGTCTGGTGGGTGAACTTTCCCCCAATTTTTTGTTTAAATTTTTTTAAACTTTATTATATATTTATGCGGTGCTGAGGATGGAACCCAGTGCCTCACACATGCTAGGTGAGCGCTCCGCCACTGACCTACAGCCCCAGCCCTAGAGGGTGACCTTTAGAGTCTGCTGATCTACCATTTTCTCACATTCTGTGAAGAGCCATGGAGTTTGATTACTCAGGCGCAGACCACCGACTGTTTCTCTTCTCCTTACTTCCAGCCTCTCTCCCCACACTTCAGACCTCCTGTTTCTTTACTGTTTGAATCCCTCCACCCCATCCCAGGGGAGGCTGGCTCTCCATCTCCACATGATTGACATCTCGTGCATCAACTCTCCTTTTAAAGCTTGTCATTTGAGTGATTGGTGTTTTGCTTATTGCCAGCTATCCAGCAGGCATCTCAACGTGATAAACCCAGGCCTCTGCCCATCCCGAATCTTGTTTGATGCTTTACTACAAGGTGCAAAAATATGGTCAGCAAAGAAATGAATTTTGAAATCATGATGCTAATCTGGTTCCTCATGATAAATGAGAAAAAAATATTTTTGCAAGGTCCAAGATATTACAGGTTGAGCACCCTTAATCTCTAGCACCTCGGAAAGGGTCCTTATTGGGAAATAGGGTTTCACAGAAGAAAACAGTATGAAGTCAAACTGGCATAGAGTGGACCCTAATCCAATCTGACCAGTGTCCTTACCAAGAATGTCATGGAAGAGACAGGGGTGTGTACAGGGAGGGAGCCGCATGAAGACACAGGCAGGTGGGGAAATGCATCCAGAGGCTCAACACACGCTCAGCAGCTGCAAGAAGCCTCAGAGCCTCCCTCAGGCTTGGAAGGAAGTCCCTGCCAATGCCCAATCTTGGCTCTCTGGCCTCCAGAAGTCCCAGACGGCAGGTTTCTCAGGTTTAAGCCACCTGCCTGGGTGCTGGGCTCTGGCAGCCCTAGGCAGTGGCCTAGTCTTTACTTTCATGGAGGAACTGGAAGAGGTTCTGAACTATAGTCCATCAACAGTTCTGAGAGGCTTTGATCATATAACATAAGATGATGGCCCTGTTCTGTGTATATTTAGAGGGAATTTAAACATTTGCATGTCACTGTTTCAAGAAAATTTTCACTCCTGACAGCTTATTCATGTAACTAAGAATTCCCAACCACAACCATGAAAAGAATAGGAAGACATCTGACACCAAATCTACGCTCATTGGGGCAGAGAGTACCTATCCCTGGGCCCGTGAACTAATTGGATAAAAGAGCCTCATCTGTTTCAAGAGGAGATGAAGTTCAATTAAAATGTTGGTTTTGTATCTTTTTTTTGTTTTTGGTACCAGGGATTGAACTCAGGGGCACTCGACAACTAAGCCACATCCCCAGCCCTATATTGTATTTTATTTAGAGACAGGGTCCCGCTGAGTTGCTTAGCACCTTGCCATTGCTGAAGCTGGTTTTGAACTTGTGGTCCTCCTGTCTCAGCCTCCGGAGTCACTGGGATTACAGGCACGCACCACAGTGCCCGGCTGTTTTTGTATTTTTAAAAGGCATGCATTGGTTTCTTGACTGAAGTTACATAGTTTTGCTTGATTATGTATTAATTATTGGACATAAAGGGCTGGCAGGTGTTGGTGCCCTTTGACCTCATGGAAGCCTAGCGTATGGCTCTTGGTTAAATACTCACTGCCACAATCGACTCGAGGACTTCGGAGGAGTACGACACTGCCCACCTCTCTATATGCTGCTTCAGTTTCACTTTCCCTCCCCAGCCTGCCTTCCTCTTCTTCCTTCTCTTTTTTGATGCTGGGGAATCAATCCCTCCTGCATGCTAAACACATGCTCTACCACAGCACTACCCAGCCCTTTTGATTAAGTAGATTTTTTTTTTTCTGAAATGGGGCCTCTCTCTGTTGCCCAGGCTGGCCTCAAACTCCTGGGCTCAAGTGGTCCTCCTGCCTCGGCCTCCCAAGTATCCGGGACTGCAGGAGTGGCACTGCATGTGGCTCCAGTTTAGACTTGGAATCTCTTTCTCACCTCCTCCTACTCCTGCCCCATCCTTTCTCCTCTGCTCTTCCAAGTGAAAGCTGCTTCTAGCTCCCATGTGGA